TAGCTCTAGAATCATTTTTGTTGTCCAGTGTTGCATTTTCTCCAGAGCAGCTATAACCTTCTGAAGATGAGGTCTCCATGCTTGAATACAGTAATCCAATTGGGGGCGCATCAGAGATTTATGCAATTGAATCACAATCCTTTTTTTTCTTGAAGTCTTGATTATTCTAAGTGCTTGGTTAGTTTTTTTTACGGCTGCCTCTACCCGCTGTTTAACTTTCATTGAGTGGTGGATTTTTACTCTGAGATTTTTTTTTCATCTATCTGATGTAATGTAATGGCGTTAATTTGGTAGTAGAAATAATCTTATAAAATTTTGTCACCTTAATACACAAAACAGAAGGAAAGAAATGCGTACTAACCTAGTTTTACTCACGTAGTTGTGCTTGCGGGCTCTTTGGTCACGCCTCTCAACTGTAAACTGTTGTACAGATTCTTGAGATTACTGGGTTCTATCAAATCTACTTTTGAAGCTGTGTATGGAGTCTGCCTCCACCACATCATTGCTTAATGCATTCCATTTGTTAACTACTCTGACACAGAAAAAATTATTTCTATTATCTCTGTGGCTCATTTGGGTACTAAGTTTTCACCTGTGTCCCCTTGTTCGTGTTCCACCCATGCTAAAGAGTTTGTTTTTGTCCACCATATCCAGTGGCCCGAGACTGTTCAACATGCTTCCACTACACATAAGGGGCATAACTGGCAGACCCATCACAGTGTTCAAGAGAGATCTCAATAAGTACCTCCAAAGGATACCTGATCAACCAGGTTGTGATTCATGCGTCAGGCTGCGAGCAGCCGCGTACAACAGCCTGATTGACCAGTCCAGCAACAAGTAGGCCATGTAGACGACCGGGCCCTCGGGATGCTAAGCCCCGAAAACACCTCAAGGTAAAGTAACCCTGTCAATTCCCCTGAGATTTTTGTAGGTGGATATCATGTCTCCCCTTACTGTTCTGTTTTCAAGGGACGTGAGGTTTAGCTCCCTTAGCCTTTCCTCGTAGCTCATACTTCTCAATTCTGGGACTAGTCTGGTGGACTACCTTTGAATCTTCTCTAACATTGTCTTGTGTTTAACTAGGTATGGACTCCAGGCTGGAGCTGCATATTCCAGGATTGGTCTGACATAAGTGGTATACAAGATCCTGAACGATTCCAGAGACAAGCTTTTAAAGGCAGTTCTTATGGTGGCCAATCTAGCATATGCCGCGGATGATATCCTTTTGTTGTGAGCTTCTAGGAACAGGTTCGTTGAAATCAACCCCCAGATCTTTCTCTCTATTTGACGCTTGCAGGATACCACCTTCCTGATGGTACCTTCTGTTCTGCCTTCTGTTCCCTTCACCTAGTTTCATTACTTCACACTTTCCTGAGTTGAACTTTAGTAGCCATTTTCTAGACAATTCCTCGAGTTTGTCCAGGTCATCCTGTAGTCTCAGTCTATCTTCATCTGTCTTGATTCTTCTTATAATTTTTGCATCATAAGCAAACATTGCTAGGAATGAGTCTATACCCTTTGGAAGATCGTTAACATATATTAGAAACAGGATGGGGGCCAAGTACAGAGTCCTGTGGGACGCCGCTGGTGACATCTCGCCACTCTGATAGCTCCCTCCTCACAGCTATTCGCTGTTTCCTGTTGCTTAGATACTCCCTTATCCACTGAAGCACCTTACCTTTTATTCCTTCTTGTTGCTCCAACGGTTGTAACAGCATTTTATAGGGTTCTGTGTCAAAGGCTTTTTGACAGTCCAAGAAAATGCCCACCCTTCTCTTTCTTGTCTAATTTTTGTTACTTGGTCATATAATTATATTAAGCCTGTGAGGCACGATTTACCATTACTGAACCCAAGCTGGTGGTGTGTTACAAAGCTATTTATCACGAGATTCTCTATGAGCCTTTTTCTCGCTATCTTCTCCATCACCGTGCATGATATACAAGTTAAGGAGAATGGCCTGTAATTAAGTGGCTCGTGCCTGTCCCCCTTTTTGTATATTGGGACTACAATAGCTGCCCTCCAGCTTTCCGGTATGTCTCCTGTTTCCAGTAACCTGTTATACACCATAGAGAGTGGCAATCTTAGTGCTTCTGCACCTTCTTTTAGTATCCACGGTGAGATTCTGTCAGGCCCAGCAGCCTTTGTCACATTCAGTTCCAACAGATACCTTTTGACCTCATCACTGGTGAGGTAAAATTCCTCCAAGGTTGCTTGGTTTGCCGGCTCATCATTTAGTGCAGGGGGGCTTCTCCTTGTTCTATTGTGAAGACCTCTTGGAATCTCTTGTTGAGTTCTTCACACACTTTGTCATTCTCTGTGTATCTGTTCTCCCCTTTCCTCAGTATCATCACTTGTTCCTTCGCTGCTGTTTTCCTCCTGATGTAGCTGTGGAGCAGCTTTGGTTGGGTCTTAGCTTTATTCGCAATGTCATTTTCATACTCTCTCTCTGCTTCTCTCCTCACTCCAAAGGTACTCATTCCAGGCCTTCTAGTATCTCTCCCTGCCTTCTGGTGTTCTGTTATTCCTGTAGTTTCTCCATGTTCTTGTACACAATTGCTTTGCCACCTTACATTCCTGACTGAATCATGGATTCTTCTATTTCTTTTCATTTTCTTCTTTAGGGCCGGGATAAACCTGTCTGCAGCTTCCTGGCACTCCTGGGTGACGTAGTCCATCATAATCTGTTCAGTCTTTTTTTGTGAGTTCTGTTTCCCATGGCATTCCCATTAGGAAGTCCCTCATCTCGTCATATTTTCCTCTTCGGTAATTTAGCCTTTTCCCTTCCAATCCCTTCCTTGGATAGGTTATCCCTACCTCTACCAGATACTCAAATGTCAATACACTGTGGTCACTCATTCCCATGGGGGCTTCAAATTTTATTTCCCTTATTCCTGACTCATTCAAGGTAAATATGGTCGAGTCTAGCTGGTTCGCCATTGCCTCTCATTCTTGAGGATCCCCTTAACATGTTGGCTCAGAATGTTCCTTGTTGCCACTTCCTAGAGTTTAGCTCTCAATGTATCTGTACCTCCATGTGGGTCCCCATTCTCCCAGTCTATCTTTCCATGGGTTGAAATCGCCCATGAAACAGAAATATTATTTCTATTTCACCCTCTCTCCCACGAGTGTAGTTTCTGTCTCACCCACGCTCCCAGGAGTATAGTTTCTGTCACACACGCTCCTAGAAGTACACTTTCCGTCTCATCCACTGTCCCATGATTATAGTTTCGGTCTCACCCACATTCCCAAGAACGTTGATGAGTTTCTGTCTTATTGTCTCACCCGTGCTCCCAGGATTATAGTTTCTTTCCCACCAACGCTTCAGGAATATAGTTTGTCACACCCACGCTCCTAAGAGTGTAGATTCTGGTTCACCAATGCTTCTCATTTTCGCTCACAGGATTATAGTTTCAATCTCACCCTCACTTGTAGTATGTTCCTGCCTTACCATGCTCCCAGGAGCATAGTTTCTGTCTCCTCCATGATCCCATGATTATAATTTCGGTTTCACTTATGCTCTCAGCAGTATATTTTTTTCTCAACAACGCTACTACGAGTATAGTTACTGTCTCACTCACGCTCCCAGGAGTATAGTTTTTTGTCACCCGCGCTCCTAGGCATATTGTTTCTGTGTCACTAACGCTCCCAGATGAATAGTTTCAGTCTTAACCACGCTCACAGAAGTATGGTTTTGGCCTCACTCACTACTCCCAGAAGCATTCCCCTTGGTGTAGTGGTAAAACGCTCGCTCTCCGCTTTGCAAGCGCTTTAGCCATGGTTCATATCCTGACTCGGGAGGATTTACATGGTGCCAATCCTAAGCTGTAGCCTCTGTTCACCCAGAAGTGAATGGGTGCCTGGTTGTTAAACGATTCGGCTGGTCGCATTCCGGGTTAAATTAGGATTAAGGAACTCCCGAAACGCTATGCGTGATAGTGACTGTACACTAGTGCAAGAACTCTTGTATATATCTAAATACAAATAGTAAAACAAATATTATTTATTTCTGTTTCACCAGCGCTCCCACGAATATTGTTTCTGCTTGACCCACGCTCTCAGGGGAATAGTTTCTGTCCCACATATGCTCCCAAGATTATAGTTTCTGTCTCACCCACGCTCCCAGAGCCTAATTTCTGGCTCACCCACGCTCCTTGAAATATATTTTCGGTCCCAACCGCGCTTACAGAAGCATAGTTTGTCTCACCAAGGCTCCCTTGAGTATAGTTTCTGTCTCACACACGCTCCAAGGACCATAGTTTCTGCCTCATCCACGCTCTGAGGAGTATAGTTTGTCTCACTGCGCTCCCAGGAATATAGTTCCTGGTTCACCCACGATTCCAGGAATATAGTTTATATCTCACACGCGCTCCCAGGTGTATAGTTTCCGTCTCACTCGCCTTCACAGGATTAGGGTCTAGGTCAAACACGCCCCCAGGAGTATAGTTTCCGTTCCATCCACGCTCCCAAAAGTATAGTTTCTGGGTCACGCTCACTCCCAGGAGTACAGTTTCTTTCTCACCCACGCTCCCAGAAGTATTGTTTCATTTTCACTGACGCTCTCATGAGTGTAGTTTCAGTTTCACCCACGTTCACATTAGGATAGTTCCTGTAACACCCGCGCTTCTTGGAGTACAGTTTCCATCTCACCCAACCTCCTAGGAGAATAGTTTCTCTCTCATCCACGCTCCTATGAATATAGTTTCTTTCTCACACGCGCTCCCAGAAGTATAGTCTCTACCTCACTCACGCTCTCACTAGTATAGTTTCTGTATTACCCACTCTCCCAGGAGTATAGTTTCTGTATTACCCACTCTCCCAGGAGTATAGTTACTGGTTCCCCCACAATCCTATGTGTATACATACAGAAATCACAATAGCGTTGTTACGGACCATTCGTAACCGGGTTCCTTTACACTCTACGATTCTGCTCAAGTTCAGAAGACTCCTAACCTTGATGGATAAATAGTGTAATGTTTAAGGTAAATAAAAATAATAACACTTAAAATTAGCCGTTATTATTACCCATCACCATAATAATTTATATAAGTTGCTATGTGATGTCATCCGGAGCGGCATCACTAGCCCTCACGCCAGCTAGCTTCCCAGATGACGGACACTATATGCCTCTAACGAGGTTTTCACCGTACCACTAGCCCTTATGCTAGCTGCAGTCATGGAGACGCCTTCAAGGGCTCCCCCTCCGTAGCGCACTTGACGGTATGCTCAATTAGTGAAGTCAACAACGCTCAACTAGCCCCAATAGCTAGTACCTCCAGGAGTGAAGTCCACAGCGCTCAACTAGCCCCACTGACTAGCACCTTCCAAGAGTGAAGTCCACAGAGCTTAACTAGCCCACTTGGCTAGCACCTTCAGGTCGACCCAAGTACTCTTACACTCTCCTGGGTTCACTGACTTCCATTGCTTGTCCCTAGTTGGTCATCACCTTCAAGCCCTGCCGACAAGAAAATGGGGAACTACGATTAATGGGAGGTCTGAAAATGGACTCTGTTGAAAATTGAGTCTAAAATAATCTCTGTCTTATTTAGGTCCTCAAATGGTCTCTGTCATATTTTGGTCATAAATGGACTCTGAAGAAAATCAGTCTTCAAATGGTCTCTGAATAATTTTTGGTGTTTAAACGGATCTCTGTTCAATTTCGGTCTTTTACAGGTGAAAAAGCTGTAAATGGATACAAAACTAAAAATCATGGCTAAGATGTCTGTTTTCTTTAACAAAACTTCTATGAACATATTCTCTGAAAATGGTCGTTTTTCTAAATTTTGGTCATAAACTCATAAATAAACTCCTATGATAATATGAACTCTAAAATATTTTCATAAAACTGAACTCTGAAAATTTTTAAATTTTCCCTATATGAACTCTTAACAATCTTATGAAATTATTTTCCTCATAAGAACACTTAATAAACTTTCATGATCGCTTTATCCGAAAATGGTCTTTGAAAAATGCGCGATTTTGAAAACAAACTAAAATTATCCTGGAACCCCCGACGCCCAACACACGATTTTTAAAATTACCTGGAAATCCGTGTCTAGATCCGCTTTTTTTCCAAAAACAAAAATCACTGCTGGGGTGTCATCCCTATGTCCGGGATGATCCCAGACGCGTCTTAGTCGATTGCACCACGACATGGTCAAAGAATTGCAACCGGGAGTGCTACTGCCCTCACACAGATCCCGCAGACACTAACTCCGAGACACTAACCGGGGTTTTGCACAATTCCCCCAAGCACCCGGGCTGTGTCAACATGCTGTTTTACCTCTTTGCCCTTACTTCAATACATACAGAAATCACAATAGCGTGATACATGAATGTATCACGATGATACAATATCAATGTATCAATAGCGTGATGTATTACGCTATTGTGATTTTTGTGTCTATTGAAGTATGAGCGAAGGGGTAGAGCAACTTGTTGACAGAGCCCAGGTGCATGGGGGAACTGTGTAACACCCTGGTTTGTGTTTCGAAGAGGCTGCGGGATCTGTGCGAGGGCAGTAGCAATCCCGGTTTCAATTCTTTTACCATGTCGTGGCGGAATCGATTATATAAGGCGCATCTGGGATCATCCCGAACGTAAGTTAAACCCTCAAAACAGCCCTTGTGGATTTGTTCAGTGTGTATTGTTTTTGTCTCACTCGAGTTCACAGGATTATAGTTTCTAGGTTACATACTCTCCCTGGAGAATAGTTTCTGCTCCCACCCACGCTCCCGGTGGTATAGTTTCTGTCCCATTCACGATCACAGAAGTATAGTTTCAGCTGCCCTATGATCGCAAGAGTATAGTTTCTGGCTATCTTACAATCCAAGGTATATAGTTTCTGTCTCATTCGTGTTCCCAGGATTATAGTTTCTAGGTCACACACGTTCCCCCAGGGGCATAGTTTCCGTCCCACTCTCCCAAGCTCCCAGGGGCATAGTTTCCGTCTCACCCTCCCAAGCTCCCAGGGGTATAGTTTCCGTCCCACTCTCCCAAGCTCCCAGGGGTATAGTTTCCGTCACACCCTCCCAAGCTCCCAGGGGTATAGTTTCCGTCCCACTCTCCCAAGCTCCCAGGAGTATAGTTTCCGTCCCACCCTACCAAGCTCCCAGGGGTATAGTTTCTCTCTCATCCACACTCCCAGGAGTAGAGTTTCTGGTTTACTCTAGCTCCCCATGTGTACAGTTTGTGTCTCTCCCACGCTCACAGAAGTGTAGTTTCTTTTTCATCAACGCTCATTGTAGTATAGTTTCTGTCTCTCCCCGCTCCCAGGTATATAGTTTCTTTCTCACCAGTACTCCCTGGAGATTAGTTTTTGTCTCACTAGTACTCCCAGGAGTATAGTTTTTGTCTCACCCACGCTATCTGGAGTATAATTTCTGTCTCATGCATGCTTACTCCTAGGTGTATTCTTTCTGTCTCAGCCCACGCACCCAGATATATAGTTTAATTCTCACCGACGCTCCCGTGAGCAGAGTTTATGTCTCGTGCTTCTAGGAGAATCGTTTCTGTCTTACCCATACTACAATGAATGCAGTTTCTGTCTCACCCACGCTGCCAGTAGTATAGTTTTTTTCTCGCTCACGCTCTCAAGAGTGTAATTTCAGTCTCATCCACGCTTCCAGAAATATAGCTTCTTCCTCACCCACGCTCCTAGACGCATAGTTACTGTCTCATCCGCTAGTTGTATAGTAATTGATAGTATAATTGTATAGTCATCAGATAGTTTCCGTCTCACGCTCCTAGGATTAAAGTTGCTTTCTCACTCACGCTTCCAGAAGTATAGTTTTGGCTTTATCCACGGTCCCATGATTATAGTTTCTGTCTCATTCACGCTCTCAAGAGTATATTTTCTTTCTCACCCACACCCCCAGGGGTATAGTTACTGACTCCTTCTTTCCCAGGATTATAGTTTCTGACTCACACCCTCATTCGGAGTATAGTTTCTATCTCACCCACACTCCTAGGAGGATAGTTTCTGTCACACTTACGCACACAGGAGTAAAGTTTCTATCTCACAACGCACCCATAAGTATAGTTTCAGTCTCACTCGCCCAACCAGAAGTAAAGTTTCTGTCTCTCTCACGCTCTCAGGAGTATATTTTCAGTCTCGCCCACTCTTCGATGAGAATAGCCTCTGGCTCATCCAGCCTCGAGTCATAGGTATGTTATTCAGAACTGGCCCTAATAGTCAAGCCAACGGGAAAATGGGTTAACAACATTAAAGAAAACCATCACAAAATGTACGTCTTTACTATATATACACATATGTACAGCACATAACACCGCAGGTGTGACTTTCACACAGGGCATACCAAAGAACTTCTGAAATCTTCTTTCCCAACGAGTGCACTTCTATCTTCCAGCGTACAACACACATGGTACCCTCCCTGAGTGCTTTATATCCGGTACTCATGCTGGCAAGTCCACTTTTATCAATAAATTATTGACCAGTTCTCCACAGTATCATCACAAAATCAAAACATCACTATCACCCGCCGGGCAACGCTCTGGCAGGGGGGCCGCCGGCAACGCGCTGGCAGGGGGCCGTCGGCAAGGCGCTGGCAGGGGGCCGCCGGCAACGCGCTGACAGGGGGCCATCGGCAAGGCGCTGGCAGGGGGCCGCCGGCAACGCGCTGGCAGGGGGCCGTCGGCAAGGCGCTGGCAGGGGGCCGCCGGCAACGCGCTGGCAGGGGGCCGTCGGCAAGGCGCTGGCAGGGGGCCGCCGGCAACGCGCTGGCAGGGGGCCGTCGGCAAGGCGCTGGCAGGGGGCCGCCGGCAACGCGCTGACAGGGGGCCGCCGGCAACGCGCTGGCAGGGGTCGCCGGCAAGGCGTTGGCAGGGTGCCGCCGGCAACGCGCTGGCAGGGAACCGCCGGCAACGCGCTGGCAGGGGGCCGCCGGCAACGCGCTGGCAGGGGGCCGCCGGCAACGCGCTGGCAGGGGGTCGCCGGCAACGCGCTGGCAAGGGGCCGCCGGCAAGGCGCTGGCAGGGGGCCGCCGGCAACGCGCTGGCAGGGGGCCGTCGGCAAGGCGCTGGCAGGGGGCCGCCGGCAACGCGCTGGCAGGGGGCCGAAGGCAACGCGCTGTCAGGGGGTCGCCGGCAACGCGCTGGCAGGGGCCGCCGGTAACGCGCTGGCAGGGGGCCGCCGGCAACGCGCTGGCAGGGGGCCGCCGGCAAGGCGCTGGCAGGGGGCCGCCGGCAACGCGCTGGCAGGGGGCCGCCGGCAAGGCGCTGGCAGGGGGCCGCCGGCAACGCGCTGGCAGGGGGCCGCCGGCAACGCGCTGGCAGGGGGCCGCCGGCAACGCGCTGGCAGGGGGTCGCCGGCAAGGCGCTGGCAGGGGGCCGCCGGCAACGCGCTGGCAGGGGGCCGCCGGCAACGCGCTGGCAGGGGGCCGCCGGCAACGCGCTGGCAGGGGGCCGCCGGCAACGCGCTGGCAGGGGGCCGCCGGCAACGCGCTGGCAGGGGGTCGCCGGCAACGCGCTGGCAGGGGCCGCCGGTAACGCGCTGGCAGGGGGCCGCCGGCAACGCGCTGGCAGGGGGCCGCCGGCAAAGCGCTGGCAGGGGGCCGCCGGCAACGCGCTGGCAGGGGGCCACAGGCAACGCGCTGGCAGGGGGCCGCCTGCAACGCGTTGGCAAGAGGGCCGCCGGCAACGCGCTGGCAGGGGGCCGCCGGCAACGCGCTGACAGGGGGCCGCCGGCAACGCGCTGGCAGGGGGCCGCCGGCAACGCGCTGGCAGGGGGCCGCCGGCAACGCGCTGGCAGGGGGCCGAAGGCAACGCGCTGTCAGGGGGTCGCCGGCAACGCGCTGGCAGGGGCCGCCGGTAACGCGCTGGCAGGGGGCCGCCGGCAACGCGCTGGTAGGGGGCCGCCGGCAACGCGCTGGCAGGGGGCCGCCGGCAACGCGCTGGCAAGAGGGCCGCCGGCAACGTGCTGGCAGGGGGCCGCCGGCAACGCGCTGGCAGGAGGCCGCCGGCAACGCGCTGGCAGGGGGCCGCCGGCAAAGCGCTGGCAGGGGGCCGCCGGCAACGCGCTGGCAAGAGGGCTGCCGGCAAGGCGCTGGCAGGGGGCCGCCGGCAACGCGCTGGCAGGGGGCCGCCGGCAACGCGCTGACAGGAGGGCCGCTGGCAAGGCGCTGGTAGGGGGCCGCGGGCAAGGCGCTGGCAGGGGACCGCCGGCCAGGCGCTGGCAGGGGGCCCCCGGCAAGGCGCTGGCAGGGGGCCGCCAGCAACGCGCTGGCAGGGGGCCGCCGGCAAGGCGCTGGCAGGGGGCCGCCGGCAAGGCGCTGGCAGGGGACCGCGGGCAACGCGCTGACAGCAGGGCCACTGGCAAGGCGCTGGCAGGGGACCGCCGGCAACGCGCTGGCAGGGGGCCGCGGGCAAGGCGCTGGCAGGGTGCCGCCGGCAGCGCGCTGGTAGGGAGCCGCCGGCAAGGCGCTGGCAGAGGGCCGC